CAAATTGCGTATGACTAATGGCAAGTGATCATTTTACTGTTTGCTTTTGGGGATTTCTTTGTTGAAAGCCGCTTTCCTGTAAGGATTGTGTTCGTTCACTTCATTTGTATCTCCGTCAAAATGGACCGTCAAGAAACGTGATCATCAGGGGCTCAAGGATGGATCTAAGCTATCTCAATTTAGAACAGTTAAATAATAAATGCTGCACCCCCACAGTCGTGCTTTGTGGTGATCGCAGAGGAGCTACTGAGTCGACAGGGAACCCGTCACCTGCTGAGGCTAGCTCTGGATCGGAATGACCTGTGTGGTATCCTACAAGGAAGTCGCTGCCCCCACCCCCGAACGTGTGGCATCTAGCATGGTGATTAAAATGAACAAAGAGGGGCGCCTGGGTGGCGCAGTCGGTTAAGCGTCCAGACTTCAGCCAGGTCACGATCTCTCGGTCCGGGAGTTCGAGCCCCGCCTCAGGCTCTGGGCTGATGGCTCGGAGCCTGGAGCCTGTTTCCGATTCTGTGTCTCCCTCTCTCTCTGCCCCTCGCCCGTTCATGCTCTGTCTCTCTCTGTCCCAAAAATAAAGAAACGTTAAGAAAAAAATAATAAAAAATTTAAAAAACTAAAAAATTAAAAATTAAAAAAATTAAATTGGATTATATTATTTCCCCACCTAAAAGCTTCCAATAGCTTTTTTGCACTTAAAATAAAATTCTACAAGAGTCTTGTTCTTCCGGACCCTACCTAGTTCTTTCATTCTTTTCTGAACTACTCTCCCCTCATTCAAAGATTCTACACACAGTGGCCTCTGTTTAACCTTGAAACAAACTTGTCCTTTGTGTTAACCTGTGTTAGTTCTGCCTCTGCTCCTGCATAATTAATTGGCAGGCTACTCCCTGCTCCTCAACTTTCCATTTAAATGATGCACCCTTGGAAGAGGTCCAGGAGCTCATTTCTTTTTTAAGTTTAGGTATTTATTTTGAGAGAGACGGAGGGTAAGCAGGGGAGGGGCAGAGAGAGAGAGATAATCCCAAGCAGGCTCTGCAAGGTCAGCACAGAGCCTGAGGGGGGGCTTACACTCCCCAACAGGGAGATCATGACCTAAGCCAAAATCAAGAGTCAGAAGCTTAGTCGATTGAGCCACCCAGGCACCCTAAACATTGTTGATTTTTAAAAATCTATTGCGTTTTCAGCCATATTTCTGACAGCAGAAGGTGGACTCAGCTAAATTCATCTTCTAGCCATACTGGTTTCTATTCACTGACTTGTGTGAGATTCTGAATCACGAACAGATATTGGAGAGATGTGCTTTCTTCCCCATTTCCTTTGATTAACTGGCCTATGTGATTTGGCCTAAATTTTCCTGGAAATTGTTGGACTGTCAAGGCATTGACTTAAGAGTATCTCAAATCAACAGAACATAAAAGAACGAGATCAGAAGCCAGAATATAGCTGATGCTCAACATCCTCTCCAAACCCTAAGTCTTTTTAAAGTTCCTTATGGCCAAAAAAAACCTTAAATAGGTGGATATTTCTGGATTCCAGAGGTACTAGCCCATATGTGCACCCACCACCATGATGGCTTTATTTTTCTCTATATATCTTAATACTATCAAATATATTACATATCTTACTCGTTTCTGTCGGTTTATATCTGTCTTACCCCAATAGAAAGTAAGCTCCTTTTGGAAGAAGATTATTGTCTATTTAGTCACTAGAAAAACATCAGTTCTAGCACCTAGAACATCAGGTGAAATCAGCTCAATTAATGTGGAAGGAAGGAAGGAAGGAAGGAAGGAAGGAAGGAAGGAAGGTGCAGATTATATATAAATATCTGTCATATACCTATCTACTCCTGCTGAAACCTATTTATATTAATACACTCTGAAAGGCATAAACTATTTCTTAAATGCTGTTCCTTTTTTTATGACTAATATTTCCCTGGTCCAAATGATAAATAATAAGAAGGTAAACAGAAAGAAAAACTATAGAAATCAACCAAACTATCCCTTAAGAAACCTGCTCTTCCCTGTATAATATCGGGGCCCAAGAGAGGCGTTGATCTTCTACTGAAAGGATAAAAAAGAAGAATCTTAAACCTTTACTGTAAAGCGAGGGCATGGACTTAACAAATTAGAATATTATTTAATAATAATTATATCCATGTAAAAAATAAATACATCATCTTTCCTAAGATTGTCTCTAGGACAGAAGACAAAAGCAGGAGTCTATATCTTTTGCTAAGGAACCAAGTTATAAAAATTCCCTTCTAAAGAATCCTCTTTGCCTGGTCATTTGGAAATTTTTCTACTCTGACTCTCCTCTCTCTCCCTCCTTTTCTCCCTGCCTCCCTCTCTCAGCACTCACAATCTCTTCCTGTTTATCTCAAGACTCAGAAAAACACAACCCTCGGGAGTTTCTACAGGAGGTTTGCTCATTTCCCAGGAAACCGGGCTTCCATAATGGAAAGCCCTTGGAGTTGAAAGTTTCACTTCTTTTTTTCTTCTTTCTTTCTTTCTTTTTTTTTTTTTTTTGATGTTATATTTCCCTCTATTTTTCTAAGTTTAATATCCCTGAGTTTTATTCCAAGTGTCTTGATCATAAAATGAGGTCTGTCTCTAGGGGTCACCTCCACCCTGAAATAAGAAAAAACAAACAAAAAAAAAAAACTGCCTGGGAGGTGCTTCAGTTTGGCTTGGCTTTATCGTGGTTCTATTTTTTGGAAGAGGACCCCTGTGCTGTCCCCTGAGGCATGTTTAGAAAAAGGTGTGGACAGGGCAAGGAATGGTATAAACATCCTTAGGAATAATGAGATATATAGAGAAAAAAAAAAAAAAACCCTTTCCTGAATCTTTTTACTAGAACTATATTATAAAAGGCTACAGTGCTGAGGTCAAGTTTGGAAGGCAAATTCCTTTGTAATTATAAGAAACGTTGTAGATGGAGAGACTTGGCATCCTTGACCGGTTAGTTACTCTTTCTTCATCAGGCGTCAGAAAGGGGGAGTTTCCCTTGAAAGAAAGGCTCCATTCCCAGGGCCTATAAGAAATGACACCTGTATTACCAGATGTAGTTTTTTAGTATGCCTCTGAAAGAGAAGCCATACTAAAAGCTGGAAAAGACACAGAGAATCTAAATAATTTGCACAAAGCCACATGGCAAACTAGGGCCAGAGACAGGATCACATTATCATGCTTAACAGCACACTTTGTAGACTTCTCCTTTACCAGGACTCGCAGACATAATGGAGGCGAATTAGACCGGTGGCAAGGTGGATCATCTTTCAGAAATTACTTTTAACGTTTTTTAACCGTGAGATATTGCCGCTTAGATATCTGACTTTCAAATTTCCAATGTTGTCTTTTTAGCAACTTCTTTTTGTTTCCTTACTCCTCCCATAGGGCACAGAATAAATCTCCTCTGGGAGAATATTTGAGGGGCCGTGAGTTGAGAATATTTTCCAGTGTTCATGAAAACGCAGATTTTCATTATCTTACGATTTTATTTCAAATCCTATTCAATATTTTCATTCTCTCTAAAAGTAAATGGATGTTATTCTTCCTATCATTTCAAAATAATAGGCATCTAAAAATGTATAACCTATTTGCAGAATATCATTGAGTTTTTAACTCACTGCAATTAGAAAGTCGATTACACATATGTTTTTGAGTAAAATTTAGGTGAGTCAATTTTATATTTTAATTAAGAAGTTTCACTTATGAAACGCAATTCAAAAATAACATCGCTACTCATAAAGATTGCTAACACTCCTTGAGTTACTAAGATAAATGCCTTATGCATTATCTCGTATCTTACAACCCCCTGTGAGTAGATACTCCTCATGATCCCCATTTTACAGGCAGGACACTGAGTCCTAGAGGGGCGAGTCACCTTACCCAAGGACACAGAGCTTTTGATAATGACAACTACTGAGTGTATTATGTGGTCATATTTCATTTGACTCATCCAAAAACTACCCAAGAGGGCACTATTTTTAACCTTCCTTTGGATTTTTAAAAACTGCAGTATCTAGGAGTTGCTTAATTTGCTTAAGTTTGCACAGCTAGTAAGTGAAGGAGCAAATGAAATTTGGCTGAAATTTTAAAATCATTTTCCTAGCCTCCCAACAGATCCCACATCAATATCTGTCCTTATATGGCAGTTCCGTATGGAATTATGGAAAGACTCTGGTGTTTTACCGCTTACTACTTTTCATTTCTTTATTGTGAAACACCTCAGAAATAGCCACCTTAAATCATACCTTCCCCACTCTGCCACCAAACGCAAGTTTAAGTTCTTCCTAAAGGAAAAACAAGTCTTCTTGGTATAAAAGACCCTGCGTAGCAGGATCCCATCCAACGTTTTAGCTTCATCTGCCAAAGGTCCCTCCTCATATGCCCCTTTTCTTTGAAGACTAGGTCTCAGCCCATTAATCTACCTTCT